ATTCTTTTAATGAATATATTATTTAATTTTTTATCATCTTGTTTGTATTAATTAATATATTATATTATTAGATATTTGTTTTAATTATATTTTCAAATATTATAACTGACTAATTTCTCAAAATACCCTTTTTGGTCATTTCATATTATCATCAGCTAGTTTTGACAAATGTAATTTGTTAATCAGTTAGCTTATCAGCTACTAACTATCTTATAAGCTAAAAACTATCTTATCAACTAGTTTAACAAACATAGGGGATGTTTGGTAATTGCTGAATGATTTGGTGTAGAATGATTACGTGGTCATAATGATTAAAATGCTCTTATTATCTAGTGCAAAATGAAATATAATTGTTTGGTAATTGCATACAATGAAATTAGGGTTCTTAATGGTTAAGGGAGATCCATGATACAAAATAATTCAGAGAATTTTAGAACCATTAAGAGACAGACTTTTTTTTTGACAAACAATATTCACCTCTTGTTGGTTCAAAGGTTGCCTATTAATGAAACTATTAAAAAGTAAACAAACAACCCCATAGTCTAAATCCGTACATTTTTTTAACTAATATGACCATTTTATAATTTCTAAACTGTAAGTTCAAATAACGTTATTTTTGACAAATCATAGGAACCCGAATTCGTAAATTACTCTAAAAGAGAAATGTTTTTTTTATTTCAAATTATTTATATTAATAATTAATACTTTAAACGTTATAATTCGGAAGTTTTAATGTACTCTTTGACTATTAAAACCGTTACTTCAATGTGGTTATATTTCACAAAAAAAGCAAAAATTCTTACAAAATAAATTTATTTTGGACAATTTAATACGTTTTTGTTTAAATAATAATTATTAATTTCTTAAATCAAATTAAAGGGTTTTTTTATTTTAAAAAAATCAAATTAAAGGTTATGGTTGCTAAAAACATGTGAATACTATTTTAAAATAAATACTAGTTGTGTATCAGCGCAATGCGGCGGGAGGCGTGAATTTTAACGATATTGGAGTTTCACTGGTTTTATTAGAGAAGATTTAACGATGATATAAGTTACACTTGATCTTTACATAATAATACAATTTGAATAAATAAGTTATGGTTCCAATTACAGTATATCGATAAAAAATTGGTATGACAGTTTAAAATCCAATATATTTAAAATCCAACATATTTAAACGACTCCACAAATGTGTTCGATTTACAGCAAGAGCAAAGACTAAAAAGATCGAGAGCAATTGAAGGAGAGATGAATGAGATAACTTTTAATAACTTATGGTGAATATCAGTTTGAATATCACTTTAGGGGATTGGGAATAAGACATAGAGGTATGAGAGGGTGAAGACATGAGTTAAATGTGTTAAAAATATATTGGGAACATGAAAATAAAAGATAATAATATGCATTGGTAACTTATACTATATGTTATTTTAATTGTAGATTAACAGATTTTAAGACTAAATGTATAAAATAGTATTACTTAATGCATTATGAGTTGTCTTTAAGATTTTTAAGACTTTATGCATAAAGTAATAGTACTTAATGCATTATCAGTTGTTTTTAAGACTTTGTGCATTTGTGCATAAATGTATAGTACTTTGTGCATTAAAAATTATTTTTAAGACTTTTGATAAATCTGGTTTATAAGGTAATACAGATAAAACGTAAAGATACACTGATGGTAACCGACAACAAACTACGATTATTCAAAATAAAGTCTAAAACCCGAAATTTTTATATACCACTATAAATATTTATTTAATTCTTAATTTATTTAATAACATAAATATTTAAATGAAAATTATAAAAATAAAACAAGAAGAAAACATACATAGCTTGGATACGCGGGGCACTTTGGGAAGACCATTTTTTGTACGGCCTTTTGTCGTCTTTTTTTGCATATTTGATGCAATTGAGATATTTACACTTTGTTTAATTAAATAACGGATAATGATTCAAATTTAGTTTCATATATAAATTAAACCATTAATTAGAAGCGTATTCGCGTAATGCAACGAGATACTTCGTGATTTTAATATTTTATTTTATTATTTATCTCAGTCGATGTTATAATATGACTTTATGTGATTTTGAGAAAGCGATAATGTTTTTATTTTTGAATAAAATATATGTTTGAAGATATCATAAAAATTTGACAAAAATATATCGATATTAGTATCAAATTAACTATTTAA